GCATAAATAATGTGTGATATAAAAATAAAAATAGACACTTGCCTACCAATATAATTTTTATCATCAATTATTTGATCCATGGTCGTCGAGTGAACGAGTTTGATTCTGACGGCAACTATATCCAGCCATATTGGTATATCGAATAGTTAGGTATGTATATAGGTAAGTACCAACGTACCTACGAACTACCAAGAAAAAAATAAATACCTTCATTAAGTCCTCGTTTAGGTAAGTTCCTAGGAAGCACAACGTTAAGCACAAAAACGTGACACATTTTACACTCACTTAATTGGAATGTGTTCCTACCAGTAAATAAGACGGCAAAATATAATGCATAAAAGCAATAATAATATAATTAGGGTAGGTACCTATATAGGTAATACAGAATAGCTATATAGTGCAGGCTAGGAAACGGTATCGGTAAACAACTTATTATCGATAAAATGAAAAACTAATCCAACATTTTACGTAGGTACATAATATAATATTATATGATCGAGACTCCCAGATAGACATATTATGCCTGTCCAGATGACAGTCTTCAAGGAACTTACGACACCTGGGTGGTGTGTATCGGAACTCCACAAACCTACCTATAGGCTAAAACTGTTAATTAAAGATAGGCACAGTGTATTAAATGTTGGTAAGCACGGTGTCTGACGAGTGACGAGTGACGACCAGCGAATATGATGACCCAGCCAAGTCCCGTCATGTATCGGAACTCGGAAGCGTACCTATCCTTCACCCACGGCCCCGAGAAACGCATTGCTCAAATTACCAATTCTTTTTACTATTATATTTATATACATATAAACACACATAGTATATCTACAAAGTAATATAGGTACCAAATATAAAGAAGTCATGACAAGATACATAAAAAATGTTAAAAAGTTTGATGAGATTTAAACTTCATTTTTTTCTAATAATATATTTACATAGGTATATACATGTAAGTACCTAGGTACATATAAAGACATGATAAATAATATTAGTTAAAACCATATTTAACGATTTTTGGTTTCAATTTAGTTGAAATTGTTTAAAACTTCATAACATTGTTAATACAATTTATTATGACTTAAGGCTTGTTTATATTATATACTTTAAACGTTTACACTATATACAAGTGTTCCTGTTCTGAAATGCACATTTTTATCTGACCAAAGGGACATAGTACTCTGTACATGTATAGGTACTTCAAATAAAAAGAGTAAAAGTAAATACTTAATCATTTTACCAAGCTTAACATAATTTATCACCCAATTTAAGAAACTTGTCGTACTTGACATCTATAAGAATATCTTTTTGTAATATAGTATTACAGAAACAATGGTATTTAAATATTTTACAATGCTAGTCTAGGTATAGTTTAGTGGGTGTGTTAAATAATTCATTGTTTATTAATATAATAAAGTAAAAATGTAGCATAAGTTGGCAATTATTGAATTTACAAGAAATTCCAAATTTCTAAATGTGATAACAATAAATTTAAAACATATACATTTTTATCTTACATTTAAACATCATTATTATAATACCTATCTATCTTAAATGTATGATTGCAGATAGGTACTATAAAATAAAAAACTGTTTAAAATTACATTAAAATCATACAAGCATACCTATGAATAATATTATAATATATGTATATAATATATTATGGTAAGGTCAATGTTTCCTAATTATTCTTAAATATTTTTGTACTTATTATTTATATTACAAAATATTTAAATACATAGATAGTAAATCATTGGTCACTGGCATTATACATTATATAATTAGATACCTAGTTGTTAATTTTTTGACAGGTGTGATATTAGCTATTGGGTAAATAAACTAGGTTTTGTGGTACCTATCTAAGTATTCTTAACTACAAAAAAATTATTTAGTAACTACACACCTGTTACCTTAATTATATAATTAGATAGAGTGTAATTTATAAAATAATATATTGTGGCGTAACTTGCAAGATTTGAGGATTTTGAGTAAAAATACAAAGGCATCTAAGAAGTAGGTTAATAGTTCATTTGAACAGGTACCAAGGAATAATTATATGAAATGACACCACTAATAATATCACAGTTTAACATATTATATTCTCTATTGAAATAAATGTTTATTTTTAAATCAACATAAATCTATAAAATATGACAAAAATTACACTGGTTATACAAATTAATGATGATTAGGTACATAAACACAACCTTAGTGACAAATAATTTCAACTAAAAACTAATGGTACATCAAATAATAATAACAATAATAATAGGTACTTATAATATTAAATATTGTATACATTTATTGTTCACCAGTTATGTAAACATATTGTACTAGCATTAACAATCCTTTAGATTCGATATGAGTTCATGTGCTCTACCACAAAGTTATCAAAAATTTCAAAATATAAATACTATAGATCTTGAGTTATATAAATATAAATTAATCAATAGGTATATACATTAATTTTTATAAAAAGCGACCATATAGGTACCTCATTAGAAAATTATTATTATATTCTTAACTTAGGTGGATGAAATTAAAAAAAAAGACTAAATATATATATTTTCCAACTAATAGCAATTAATATTAATTTAAATTTATTATTCAAATAATATATTGACACCAAGGGTTATAAATTATAATTAATAATGTTGTTAGTAAATTTTCTCATACAAAAATTATTTAGCTAGTTTTATGAATAACAGTAAGTGTTAAACCAGAAATAAATGTTTTTTTAATGTAAGTGAATAATATATAAATTGTATTTTTGATAAGTTTTTGATCAATTTTTCAATTGAATTAGGTATATTTCTTTGACATAGTAATATTGTATTGTTAATTAGGAATAATTTGTCTATAATACTTTTACAATTCAATATTAAAATGTTATATGATTATTGTATATACATTTGTTTCAGTAAAATATTTATTTTCCACAACCCTGTAAGTTTCAAGTACTATTATTCAACATAAATATATTTAATAAAAAAACAACAAAACATGTCTAGATTTTAATAGCAATATCAACGGGAAAATCATTTTAGAACTATCTGAATTATGAATCACCCTGTGCAACATATAAAAAAATAATGTATTAGGTAAAACAGCCAAGGTATATATAAAAAGGGCCAATACAAATGTTAAGATATTGAAATGTATGGTATGGAAGTATAGAACAAATAGATAAGTATATTTAATTGACAAACTGTGATCAAGGTCAAAGAAATATTTTTAAACAGCCATGCAAGTACACTATTTTAAAATAATCTTGTAAGATTTAAAATGTAAAATTAATGAAAGGGCACCATCCAATGTATTATATTAGATTGAATTTAAACAAAAATATTTGATTCTTGATTAAGGTACCTGGACAATCTATAAGGGTGTTTACATGTGTTTGTCATCTATACATGTAGTATTTTTTATATGTGTTATAAGGATTTATAAATTATTGATAAAATTAGACATTTTATATTTTCAATAGATATTTTTACAAAACATAAATAATTTGAGAAGAAAATTACTTTAGAGGAGTTTATTTAATCATATTTTATAAAAAAAAATGTATAGTAATTAATTTAACAACCAATGGGTAAAAACTGACTTTGATAAATATAGCCCTCTCAAAATACTAATCCAACAAACTTAACTTACTTCAAGATAAACATTCTTCAAAATTAAACATACATTTTAGGTACAATAAAAAAATTTATCACAGTTACATTTGTTAAACATGATTAACATACTTTGGTGCACAAACATAATTCCAACAAATTTAGCATCAAATAAAAAATTATAAACAATATAATATACATTAACATATTTTATTCATTTAACTTAGAAGTCAACAATATTAATTGAAAACATTGTTGTTGTTTTAAGTTAAGCCATTTTAACTTTGTATGCATTAAACATAAGTAGTTAATTTAAAACAAAAAAAAAAACAAATACTTAATTTAAGTTTAATTTAAAATTAAATTGTGTTTATCAATTATTATTTAATGACACCTTACTGTCATAATAATTTTTTTGATGCTAAATAACATTTCATGAGAAAAAAATTCAAATAAATACAATGATTTTTTTAAACACACCATTTTGACTTACCATTACAAACATATAGAATTAAAATCATCAAGAACAATAATTATGAAAATTATGTAAACATTAAAATAAAATATAATAGTATCTTGTTTCAGGAATACTTTTTTCAATTTTATGAATATTACAGTTAAAACTCTTAATACATACAAAATAATGATAACTTTCTTTTTGACTCGACACTACAATTATTTATAAATCTAATACTCAAAATAGTTAAGTGCCTAAAATTTTGTCCGATGTGAGTTAAATTATAAATAACTTATATAGTAGATACGAAAAATGTTAAGATTATAATATTTTTTCATTCAAAAATAAATTAAAATAAAACAATAATCAACAAGTAAAATGATAAAATAAATATTATTTAAATACTAATAGTTGATAATAACTACGGACAGTACAAATCTGTGATACATGTGAAATGTATGATGTATGCTTGTATACACATTTATAATATAAAGATAGAGATTCGTTAAATATAAATTCTTTATATTATTTTATTTATTTGTTTTTACTATTGAATCAACAGATATCTTAAAATACATTTAAGTATACACTTTCTAGCAATCCCAATATTTATAGTTTTTATTGCATACATTAAGTTTATATTTTGGTTTACTCTAATAATGACTATATAATATTAAAGATTTTGAAAAAACCAAATGTGATCAACATTTAATTAATAATAATTATAATTGATGTACTGAGCATGGCAGGAAAATGATTTAGATGACATACTATTAAATTTAAACTTGTTTTTAATTATAACTTTTTAGCTAAATTAAAATAGTATAAGAGATTTATGTAATTTAAAAATTATTTTAGAACACTTAAACAAAGAGATCAAAATTCGAAAAACATTGGGACTGCTGCAAACTATAACTATATAATATAAAGGTTACCTACCAAAAAAAATAATTAAAACTGAAGCACAACGCTTTGAATCATTCGGGTGAAATTTAAAAGTTTGGGCACACAATAATTTTACACATTCATTAATTTGTCACGACTCTGGAGTAAATATATATAAAAATAAGTTTGTGATCTCGTAAGTTGTAATTTGCAAAACTAACTGTATTTTATGAATATTAATGAATATCACACTGCAACATTTGTTTTATACACTGATCATGTGAAATATTGAATAGTGTATTAAGTTGCATAGGCATATATATTTAAAACTTACAAAAATAATTTTATGTAAAAAATAACTATGTAAAAACTTGAAGCAAACTATAAATATTTTCAAGACTAGACAGTTGCATAAATTTGAATGTAGGAATAGTAATAAATGGCCATCTATATGATGAGATTATATGCTTGAAATAAATAATTAATTAAAAAACTAATATTTCTTACTAATTATTATTGAATATGTTTAATTATATTTTTCGCCAACTTTAGATTTATAACATTGTATTCTTATTAAAATATAATAAATCCGTTGCTTTAGTTTTGCATTATTGTTGAATGCTTTTCAATTTACCGGGTAATTTAATTTTCTCTGATGATACATAAATGGTTTTATAAAAATGGATTGCTTGAATGTTTATTCAACGGGGATGCTGATCCAACCTATATGAATAAAAACATCTATTTATCATAAATAAATATAAAATAATTGATTTAAAGTTAATTACTTTAAACGGATTTGAAAAATCTGCACTCCATGGTGCTACATCGTTAAAACCCATCGATTGGCTGGAAGTTAAACCATTTGGCCATTGAATATTATTCTGCCAATCATCTAAAAAATTAAATGACATAATAGGAACCATCAAATTAATCAACATAAATATGTACAGTGAATATTATTTCTTTACATTAAATATTCGAGAATAATAGTAAATAGCTTTGAAAAAAACATGAAATGATACCAATAGCATGATATAATAATTGTTTTAAACACAAGTATTATCAGATAAATAAAACTAACCATGGATTATAATTTATAATTAATTTTATTACCTATCAATTTAAATTGATTTAACATCAATATTATTTTATCTTAACCATTTAGTAGACAAATACAATTTTAAATTATAAATGTTTTCTTTACACGCTAAAATTATAGTTTTAAACACTAATGGCAGAATAGTAATTAATACCAATAATAAATGTATGATTAAAATTTAAAAAAAATGTTTTTTTATAAATCTATTTATTATTAAATTGTTTTTCACATTATTTAATCTAAACTTTGTTACTAACTAATTAAAGACAGATACTAAATATAGAAGATAAATGAGCAGATTCTGTATCATAAAATTATAGTGAACAACTAATTTTAAAAATTGAATTCAACATAATTATTTTAAAATATACCTGGTATGTTATTTGTAAATGGGTTAACTACATGATTTGATGATGCCCAATCATCTTCAACACTATCTAAATTATTAATGACAGAGAAAAAATCATTAGTATTTGAATCAATAGTGAATAATAAGAACATAATGTTGAAAATACATAATACCAGCAATGTGATTTCCGTTTTACAAATGTACAACATAGCAATATTACAATCGGCAGAAAAATTTTGTGTTAATACTAGTAGCTTTAGTATTATATTGTATCAATAATAACAACGGTAATATAGAGACAACTTTTGAGCAGGAATGTGGCTTTGTTTTAAAGAACTGGCTTTTAGTAGAATTAAATAGCATATCTATGTCTATGGTCTTCTGAACTTCAACTTAAATAATAGTTGTGTCTATTCTCTACACTATTAAACCTATTAACACATTGGTTCTGCTCAATGCATATTTGTTAGTTGTACAATTGTAAGACAGAAACAGCACAAGCGGGTATGACATCCTCTTAACTAAAACCATTATTACTTTTGAATGGGTTCTGAGGTGTATTTTCAGAGACTTGACTGCTCCATGTTCCATTTAAAGATGCATCAGAACCTAAAAACATTTATTATAGTAAGTTGCGGTTACAAATGAAACTATTATTTTACTTACTCCATGCTGAACTGTTACTATTATTCAATTGAGGAGGAGTATCTTGTTGAACTTGAGATTTCATTAAGCAATCGAGATCTTTCAATGCAGCATAACGGTCTTCAGCTGGTGCTTGAGATCCATTTGCTTTCCAACTTGTACTAGGACTTGTACTTTCAATAGCTACGCCTATAGTAGGTAAAATAAACTTATAAATAATACAGCAAATTAAAGAATAAACAAGTTCTTTTTTTATTTTTGCAAGACGATGAAGTACAAAATGTCAATTGATTAATTATTATTTATTACCAGGGCTCAGACTTTATGGCATTGAAAAGTACAATTATAAATCTTGAAATATTTGCTATAAATTTTGTTCTAAAAAATATAGAAAACACAAAGCAATAATTTTCTAAAGTAATTTTGTAATTTGTTCACTTTTTTTTTCTACTTAACTTCACTTTTAACACTTAGATTTTTGAAAAACACATAATGAATACGATTTTAAACAATCGCAATTAATTTAAAAATAGCATCGAAAATGCTATAGACTTTGAGCCCTGTTTATAAAAACAAATAAACAGGATTATCCACACAATAATAAAAAGAAATGTTTAACCATTTTTACTCTAAAAATCTAATATTATGCAAAATCAAAACTATTTATACACATTATGTCTTTGGTTTTAATAATATTTCTTCTAATAGTCAAATATGTTTATCAATTTTTGTAGAGTAGAACACTTATAGATAAACTTATTTAAAATAGTAAAAATATAATTTTTAAATTTAATAAATACCCAATCGTATTTATAAAAGTTATATTTTGTATCATATTATTAAGTTTCACAACAGAACACAAAAAACCATACTATTCTATAAAACTATTTACCAAATATAACAACATGCATACAAAATTTAATTATATATGTAAAAATATCCTTAAAAAATGATGCGATACTTGTGTGTTTATTTTCTGTCTTACAAATGTACAACTTCGCAAGTTTTAATTCAACAGAATCCATTTTGTATTGCTAGATGTATTAGTAAATTGACTCATTATAAAACTTAAAGGTAAGAACAATATCAGTGTAAACTTGTCAGTATCAGGTTGATTTTTTTAGATTTTGTGGGGAGCGATAAATAATTTTACAATGGGTTTTTTTTATTTAGCGTCAGATGAAAGTTTTAATATTAGAACAAATTATTAGAATTTTAACTTTAAAGGAAGTTTTCTGCTAATTGGGAGTGGTAAAAAGTAAAAAATGTACAGTTTGAAACAAAACAATCAAATATTGTAAAAAAGGTTCAGGAAAAACGAAATTGATTTATTTTATAATAATTCAAAAACAAATAATCTTAAAATAATTATTCATTGCTCCGCTCAAAATCGTCGATATTTAATATTCTCACCAAAGGTTTATACTTGAATGTTTTATGTACACAGAATAATTTTCAAAATTTACTCTTTAAATTGTTTAAAAGTATTTGAATAATAAATTTAAGAAATTTCAATTTATTTGTTAAAAAATAAAAAAGATAAAATATATTTTGCCTGGTCAAAAAACTTGAAAATTAAATACAAGGTAACTCATAAGTTGTTAATACAAGAATCAAAAAAAGTTATAAATCCATAAATATTTGTTATGAGGGTATAGAGTTCATATTGTAGTGAAATTGAATATTTGCAGGTAAAATGACAATTTAAATTTTTTGGTTGGAATTCAAAAAAATTAATTATTGTAGAAAATTAGAATATTTCACTGTTACTTGAGTTATCATTTTCTATACTTACTTTTCAAAATATTTAGACTAAATTTAAGCTATTAATATAAGTTTAAACACATAAAATCATCAATGTTTTTTTAGTGTTTATAAACATATTGAGACTTGATCAAAATGATTGAAAATTTAATCCAAAATTCCACAAAGGTTATTTTTTTTAACATTTAAAATACATGGATAAGGTTTTTATATAATTTTTTTTTGATCTAAAATTTTTACAAATTTGTCAAAATCACAAAAATGACTTAGTACATAGTTAAAAATTATAAAAATTTAATTTTTATAGCTAAGGCATAAACATTTAATATAAAATCTCTCACGAGTACTTCTGATTAAGAATAAAAAAATCTGAATAATTAATTCAACACGTTATTATAGTAAAATAAATTACAATGATAGAAATAAAAATATACCAAAAATGTATACCTAGTGGCTAGTAATATAGCTTATAGAGTATAGACTGTTACCACTCAGAATTGTTGATTTATCATTGAATTCAAATTTAACACATAAATTATAGTGACCTAATCAATGAGGTACACTTAACTCCTACTGTATGTTTGAAGACTACAATAGAGCAGTCCTTAAGTATGAAATTATACGTATGTACAGCTTAAAAATACTCATATCTCGTTTTAAAATTAAAATTAAAATAATGAAAAATAACCAACTATAGAACCCAGATAATATTCTTATCATTATATTTTTTAATAAGTCAATTAACTCAAAACATTAACAACACAAAACTAGTTCTTCTAAATTCAATTGTCTATATTTGTAAGACAAAATAAAAACAATGTGGGTCATCAGGTCATCTTAATAATTTGGTTTTAAAAATATATTTTTTATTAAATTACACTAAATTTAAATGTTTTATAATATAACACATTAATAAATAGAAGACAAATGTAGTCAAATATAATATTATTGATATCTAAACAATAATATTGTGTAATAGTGTAGCAACTAATCTTGGGACTTAATTTATACTAACTTGTAAAATGTTAATTTTTTTTTAAATTGAGTGATCTTGTAGTTAAATTATTCTAGTTAAAAATGCAGTGTTAACTTTAAAATTTAGATCATAATTTTAAATTAAATATAGTTTTAGGATATTTGTACAAACAAATATAAAGTAAAAAAGAACATTCTAAAGCAAATATAAAAATAAAAAAGTGCTATTGCAAACAATTATTTCTAAGCTTTACAACCAAGGATGTAAATAATCACATCACCAAACCAATCTAAAACTCACTCCATCGATTATTAATGTTGTTCGGTTTTCTTGCTGGTGAAAAATGTATTGGATTTGATGTCAAATAATCAAAATATCCAGTTTGAATTGGTTGAACAAACTTAAAATTTAAGTCTTAACATAAACCAATAAATATTAGGTTATTGTAAATTTTGTTTTAATATTTTTTTGAGGACACCATACCTACATCTCTTGTCTTCTTCTTACAAGTGAATAATATGAAGAACTTATGTTTAGTAGTTCACATTTAGTTTTATTATTCTCAATATCAGTGTGAATTATCTATTTTTTAAGCTTAAAAGTAACAACATTTTCTGTGTTTTGTTTTTTTTTTTTGTTATTTTAATCTTTAAGGGAGTTATGAGCATTTTAAAATTGTAATATTTTGTATACTTATAACTTGTATCAAAATTAAAGAATGAAAAAAAAACCCTACTACAAAACACAGACGTATTCTTTCCATTAGATTAAGTAATTTATCAATATTAAAAGTATATTATTAAAACTCACAAAGCTAAACTTGAACTAATAAACATAAGTTTGCAATATTACTTATAAGATAGTGATGTAAAATTAGGGTGTGGCATCCTTTTAAGTAAACTATTTTGTTTTCTAAATTTGTAAAATTTATTATATTAAAAAAATAATGAACCTACTCTTAAATATGGATTACAGATATTTCAAAAATAGAGCCTGAATTTGTAATGAGGTATACTCCTCTGTTCCAAAAGAGAATGATTAGTTAGGCTGACAGATTTTGGTTGGTTACTGTGCATCTTCTACCAACAACCTGTATTAATGGACAGTCCAGCGCCTATTTTTATAGTCGTTAAAGTTTGTACACGGTCTTTGGGAAACGTCGGCAAGCAAAATAGGAGAAATTTTGTCTCGGCACTAGCCCAGCCATCAGTCGTGTGCATGAAAGTGATTATTCTCTTTTGGAATAGAGTATGGTTACAGTGCTTAGTTTTGTTGGAGCATACAAACAAATTTTATAAATACATTTGTTCATAACTAAGACAGAAGTTATGACACCTCAACATTCAAGTCGTTAATACTTTCAAAAACACAAAATTAAAATTACTAATAGTTTTATTTTATTATTTTTAATATTAAAATATAAAATACTAGAAAATATGTAAATTGATACTGCAATATATTTGTTAATACATAAAGATAGACTAATATTGTTACGAGTTGTATGATTTATATTAGCCCTGCTTTAATTTTGGCACTGCACTAGTAAACTAAAATATAATTATTCATAGTATTCGATACATTACTGCCCATCTATTAACATAGAATTGTTTTTATCTTTCATAAAATTGTATACTATATAGTTAAATTAAATGTACACAATTGTACAATTTGCTTATAGTAATAAAATCATAGATATTATAATTATTTTAATATTTTGGGTTTAAAAAATAAATCTATGAAAAATTACCCAAAACTAAAAGAAACCAAATACAACAGAATTGTCAATCGCTGTAACTTCAAGTAAATCTTCCATATAATATTCAAACCTCACAATTTCAGTTTCACCTTTTTTTTGTTAAGATATCACTTTTTAGCAACACTTAAAAAGGTAGAAACTTACCATTAATTAGTAAACATATTTAGTAGTTACATGTAAATAATTATATTTAATTCTTAACAAAATATTGAATGTTATACATACCAATATTTTTAGGAGTATCAAAAGATGTAGAAAATACTGGATTATTTTCAAAATTTGCAAAAGATTGAGATGTTTGAATTGGAGATTGATTTTGGTTTGAGGGTTCTTCTTTTAAAAACTCGAATTTGTTTGGGGATGATATATTTATTGCAGGTGTAGTAGTTGTACTAGGTTTCTATAAATAGTCAAACAATTAAAAATATTAAATAAAATATTAAAATTATTAGATATTTTCTATAAAACTTGAATAATGTTTATTTACTTGATGGTTTGTAGTTACAGTGGTAACAGCTGGCCTTGCCTGAATACCATTGCTTAACTTTTGTGAAACTTGATCAGAATAATACATCTTTTTTTCATATTTTGCAACCATAAATTCTTTTATTTGTTTTTCATCTTTTGTAGGTTGTTTTGAGTCATACATCCCTAACCAAACCCTTTGACAGCTCTACAACAAAAGTGTATGTATGATTAAATTCCATGGTTTTGTTGTAATTGATTTATACATCATGCATTCATACATAACATCTATTATGTGTATATTTTGTTTATTATACAGAAATCTGATGATTGAAACATATTATGTTTTTTGGTTTTAAGGAAAAAAATTAACTGTAAAATCAACCAATAAAAAATAAATTTGAATTTAAATGTTAGAAAAACTTGAATTCATAATATGATTGATATTGGTTACCTCTTCAAATACATTAGTACTGAGTTGTATGAACACTGAACCTATGTATACACTTTATGGAATCAATAGTGAGCTAATTTTCCCCTAAACATGATTTAGTGTCCCATGATTAAATTCTATTATATTTATTCATTTTTTATGAAACCTAGCCTAATAGAATTAAAAATGACACTTAAGTGATAAATAATTCCTAAAGAATGCATTTAAAAATAACATATTCAGTTTAAATAAATTTTTGTGAAAAATAATATGAATAAAAAAAGTTGTTTTAAATTTAATGAATGATCACATACTGAAATAAATTGCAATACATGAACAAGCCAATACATTATTTTACTATACATACAGTTAATACAGTAATATTTAATAAAATAATATAATAAATAATAATGTATGTTAATAGTTAATATTAACAGTTATATGCTAAGGTTATGACAAATATTTGTTCAACCTACCAAATTAAGAAAATAGTAATAGTTAATACTAATAAAGTACAATAATATAACATAAACTATTCATAAAAACTAATACTGATCCATCTGTCTCTTATGCTCAGAATTGTTTTTCGAATGAAAATTGAAATAATACTTAAAAGAAAAAACCAGGTGGTTTTTTATTTTTATTTTATTTTTATTATACTTAACATACATTGTCCATTGGTACAAAGTTACATATTTCATTTATTTGTACATTTATATATTAGTAATGCTCAAGCATCTTTTAATACTAGAATTAATATACATTTCAACATAATATTATATGTATGTTTATTTTTCAAGGTCCAAATAAAATATTGATTAGTAGGTATTATCTAACTTTTCAATTAATTTATGTTATTTGCTTTTTTTGCATATTCCGAATGAAAACTTTATTTTGCATGTTTTCTGTCACATTTTTCATATTAACTAAAAGTATCAGATATAGACTCTCTGACTTTGGGAATTTGTAATAAATTAAACTGTAGTTATGAGAGCGAGAAGTTGAACTTTGCCCTAACTCCACTCAGATTGATTTAAATATTACATATCTTTATTGAGTATTACTATAGATTGCTTACTGAGGGTACAAAATCTGAATTTATTAGAGACCCTGGTGTTGTTGTCCAGAAAGGACTGAGCAGCCAGGTTATAAGATACGCCGTAGTTCTGGATAATTACACTAGAATAGCTAGTAAATTCAGTGTAACGTTTTTTGGACCCTAATGAGCGATCTATAGCATTTATAATCAATGCTATTACATTAAATTATGCTGTGATGTTAAGCAAAATTTCTAAAGCAAACATAAACACATAAAACCAAGCAATTAAATTTTTTTAATTTAAAAAAGGCTTACATTGCTGTTTTGTATTATTTGTTTGATTATTACTAAAATTAAATACACTATTATGGTTACTAAAAATTAAAAAAAGTATTGTTTTAATAATTTAGGTATTCATATTAATTCATAAATTTTAGAATTATTTTATTTTTTATATTTTACCATTCATAACTTGATAAAATTAATTTTTTACTTCACTTTTTATTTTATCTGTAAATGATAGTTCAATTTCAGAGGTGTAATTTGGTTATACTTGTGTGTTAAATAATTATGTATGTGAATATAACAAATTATTTTTGTATGTATTAAAAGCATACCTCAATACACCCATTGCTCACATGTGTAATGTATACAATGCCCTGATGTGTTCATATAAACAAAAAATTACATACCTATTTAAATGATACAATAACATCGACCATGACAGCAAAATGTAATATTTTAGTTGTTACAGTCTCAGACCGCAGTGTAGTTAACTATAATCTATATTCTATAAAAGTATTAACTATTTATAATATTATTTACAACATTACAACACTATGCACTATGCTACTATTTTATCTTTATTATTGTACCACATAAGCCTATAATATTATGAAATAATACTATCTTGGTTATTATTCATTATTAATCAGTAATAACTAAAATAATTACATAACAGCAAACGGCCAGCATTGGAATTTAGTTTTCTAAAAATTATTTTTGTAAATTATGATTTGATAGTCATATTGTTGTGGGCACTAATGTTGTGTGTACCAGTTATAAATAAAACTCTTACAAGGGGAGGGGAGAATACTACAAACACATACTGTAATTACAATACTGTCCTGCTCAAAAGTTGCAACAATTTAATAAAATGCAAATTTTTATTAAACTATTAGGTAATTTTATAGCAACAATATGCAGAGAAAAACGATAAAGAATATATTCTTTTAAACATTAAGAGTAAACATATTAAAAATATAAAATCAATAGAATTTTGTTTAGAAAATTAAAAGAATTCTAAAATTAATATGTCACACGTATAACTACCCTCGTTTTAGTTAAAATGATTAGGTTCTCTCTTTTAATAACTAATGTCTAATTAGTAATTAGTGCCTTACACAATACAAATGTATCAGTTATATAAATACTAAACTTTATAAATTTCATCATAAGTATCTATAATTTTCATTAAGACTTAAATGCTTATACTTAATAAATTGATATAATACTTCACGAAAACACTATGTTTATCTTAAGCAATCTGTCGGCAATATAAGATATCACTCACCTCGTTTCCTCTGGATTTGATGAAGTCAATTTCCTCTGTGCTAAATGTTGCCATTGATACGCTTTTTACTCTGTGTGGTGGAGTAAGACCTCGTCTAGAAAACAAATGTATTATACATGAATAAATTGTCACAGTTTTTGTTTTATAACTGCGCAATTAAATATATCATAAACGCATATGCATGTCTGTCACTTTGTTGACACTAAACATTTTTTAAAACAGATGGGAAAATTAAAACAATTTAACAGATAATGTCATCAATAATTTTAAATATTTTACCACCTCCTATATAATTTATAGTACTCGTTGGTCGTTATACTAAAAGCTTATTCATTTATGTTTGAAATCTCCTATAGTGTACATTGTATATCCAATACTATACAATAAAAAATTTGTTGTTGAAAGTTCAATATAAATTATTTATTAATAGGTCTAGTTTTAAAATGACCGCATAAAATTATCATTATTAAAAATGCCTTAAATAGCACTTATAGTTTTTACGATTTATTTTTTACATACAAATATTATTCAGAGTAATAAATCTAAAGAGTATATATATACATAGTTACAGATCCTTTAACATGTGTACAGTTTTGAATAAGTTTTAATAGGTAGTAATAATTTTTATTTGATGTTCACTCAAGAATTAAGTAAAAAAATTCATAATTATTACTTAAAGGAAGAATAAATAGGTACCTATTATAAATGTATACATTTCTTTCACTGGTTAATTTTTTTCATTAATTTTACTACAAGGTTCAAAAAATGTTGGAGGAATCAAAGACTGACCCACTCACACTTAAATACATAAAAAGGAAATTATTAATGCAATGATTAACCTTTTTTTTATATAATTATTTATAGGTACCTAATTCAAACTCTATTGATTAGGCCATCTACACCTCAACAAATATTTAAAACTGTCAAGACATTTAAATTTGTCTTGTTCCATTCTAATTGCTATCCATTTGTATTCAATTGTTTGATATTATCATAAAATAGGGGAGATCTAAGAACCCTCTATGTAAACTCTCTACAGTCTACAAACTATGATTATGAATAATGAAATGTCATGAAAATTCCATCATTATTATTAATATTACTATATATATCTTTAAGTTGTAAAAAATACAATGAGTATTTAATTATTGAGCACCTATTAAATAAGGATAAAGTGATACACATCACGTTTTACATTAAATGATTTTAAAAAAGTTTATTTTGCATAAGAGTATGATGATAAACATGTGTTGTCTCTGTCTAAAAAAATATGTACAACAAATCAAAAACAGTTTATATGGAACAAATAGTAGCGTAGTTTAGTAGTTATACTTCTTTATTTATAGTAGAATTACCAAAATTCTATAAGGCATAGGGGAGAACATTACCTCTGCTGTATCGTTTTTATTTTTTCCATAGCACTAACCAATAACTTTTAATAATTAAATTTAAAAAAATGAAAAAACTTAATGTTTTCAAACTGATAACTTTAATTTTATTTATGTAATCATAGTAATAGAAACACTACAACAGAGATAAAGTTCTTTCCTATAGGTTGTGGAATTTTGGTAATTCTGCTATAAATACAGAGTATAATTGTCCCGAGCAAAACAGTTTTTGCTATATTCTACATTTGTAAGTTGAAGACAACACGTGAAATGTAGCGTCCTTTTTAATAACCAGGAAAAGGACGATTTGAATGAAAATAAGGAGCGAAGAATACTCAAACATTGCTTAATTTCATCTTGTAATTTATGAAAATACTATGTTAAAATAAACTGATAAAGTATATACTTCTTATCTTTGATAAAAATTGTCTAACCTTTAAGAAAATTATCACCTACTTATGCCTTTAATTTTACTACTAAAAAAAATTGAATAATTTAAACTTATTTATTTTACTAAAACTCTTATTTATTTATAAAAAAAAATTAAATAGTATTTCTAAATTGTCTACTAAATAAAAAAAAAAAATGATTCTTGATATACATAAATAAAAATGTAATAATTACAGAATTATTCGGTAAATTGGTAATCACATTACATTTTCCCAGATCAAAAACAAGGTTCCATATATAGTTCATAATACCTAACCTTGCCTGCTATTTCTTACTTGAACCTTTGAATGTTATTTTGTTACCTATAGCCCATATGCTATCAATATGTTATTTGTTTTCAAGAACTCAATAAAAAAAAACTACAAGTCTAAAATAATTATATATTAGAAATATTGATTATTTAAGAGGATAAAACCAATTTAATTCAACTTTAAAACAATTTGGATGAACGAAATGGCATAGATAATATCCTAAAATAGTTTGAGATTGCCCAATTAATTTCATATGATATTAATACATAATAAATAGTGAATAGTTCAAAAATAATTAAGCTAAACAAAATAATTTACAACTATTTTTTGTTTTACTTATCTAGTCCCACCCAGGAGAGTGGTGAATTATTGTTACATATATTTGAGATAAATCTTCATTTAGATTGGAGCTCAGTTTAAAATAATAAACTGTAAATAAGACTTTTTATACATAACACTGTAACAGTGTTTAGATTAAAAAAAAATTATAGAGTGAAAAACAATTGAATTTAAAAATTGATGTTACAAAATATTTTAACTTATTAAATGTCTTATAATGGGTTTGATAAAATTAAAGGAATCAAGACTATGACTGAAAACATATATATACTCCATTGATAAATAAACTAGTTTAATATACCCATGTGTTATCTTTGCCGAACAAAAAATTTAGAATTTAAATAAATGCTTATACCTGACTTGCTTTAAAATTAAAATATAAAAAAATCCTAGAAGAGTCCTTAAATAAAATTTGGATTATAGATCAATTAATTCTAATACTTAAATAATGGAGTAAAATGTATTATTCTAAACATAAATTGTATATGTTGGGCATTTCTAAGACAAAGACATCACACATAACATCCTCTTAAGGAACAACATCTATAAGACTGTTTCAATAATTTAGGTTTATAAGTACACTAAAATATTTAATTTTAATTTTTGATGTATTGTATAATTTGTAATATAAAAACTAATATATTATTTAAGATAATATATCTATGTTATATAATCTAATATTGCTTTCTCCAGTAAAAATATTACTTTTTTGTTTTTTAAACTAATTAAATACAGGTAAACATGTTCTTTTCTTTTTACTTTAGGTACATATTATGTTTTGTATATTAATTGCAAAAAAAATATTTATCTTTTTATTGACAGACAGCAGATAATTTAAAAAGTATAAAAAAATGATATGTACATGTAAATATAAACTAACATAAGTACCTAATACATTTTTTAATGATTACCATAAATTGATTAAAATATTATTTAGTTCAATATTATATTACAAGAAATCTGATTCTAAGAATCATAAATATCTAAGTAATTTTAATAAAAATAATAATAAAATACATACTGTTGTGCAATGTACAAAGGTATATTATAATAGACAAACATTGGAATTTTGAAATTCTCAATTATAGAAAATCAATACTTATGATTTTAACATTGTTAAAGATGCAATTGTGTAATTTTAACAGTAGGTAGAAAGTACTGACAATCAAAATGTTACCGTGATTAACAGTTGCAGTTATTTGTAAAAAAATAATAAATAGGAAACTTCAAATGTAAAAATTTAGATGAGATGCAGTAAATGGTTGTTGGGCAATTTTGTTTTGTCACATCGATAAATTATAGCGTTGTTAACTTGTAAACAACATAATATTTGAATAACTAGTAAATAATTAGTAAATTACAAACACGAAAAAAAATGTGATGCTTATAATATTCATCAGTATCAGTTGTAGAGCAGAAATATATTGTCATATTTTCTATTTTTATTTATCTTGGATCCACCTTTTTAAATATTGATTCTATTACCTATGTTATATAATACAGTAACCTCCATCCTATTATAATTTAAGCTAATATAAATTAGTAATATTAAAAATATACAACTTATAAACCCAATTTAAATAAATATAGCTTAGAAATTATTAGCAAATTATGACTAAAATAAATAGTTAACTAGGAACATTTTAATGATATATTGTTATTTATAAGCATTTAACCTTTTAGCAGGTGTGATAAAACATTTTAATTAAAATGATAATTAATTACTATTGATGTAGGTACTATTATTTGTTTATTTTTATCAAATCATCTTTAAAACATTTTTTACAAAGGAAGTAAGCAAAGCAATAAATAAATATTAATTGGCATAAAAGCCAAAAATAGTGAGCTTAATTTGCTTAATTTCCTAAAAATTATAAAACTACAATAGATAAGTAAATACTATTAATACATACTTTCTACACCTAAATTGATTGATAGGTAATAAATCATGAAATATTCAAAAAACAATAGTATAATAAATAAAAATTCTTACATTGTTATTAGATATATAATTTAAAAATTGAGAATATATTTAGATGAGTAAATTAGATACTTATAATAAATTACCTATGTCTTTACTACACAACTGTTAATATCTCCTTTTTAATAGATTTTAAATTAAACTTGGACTCTGTCAAAACTAAATGTATAGGAACTCTGTTGGTAAATTTTTTTTTAAACAGTGATCTATGATTATTACATTTAAGGATTGATAAGATTTTATTTTAAAAACATTCATGTATGCAATATTACCAATGACAATTACTGGATAGATGGATATTTTTTATCTGAAAATAATAATAACTAAAAATCAAAATACCTAGATTACAAAGAAACCAATTTTGTTGTTAAAAATCAATATTTGTAATAGTAAAAATAACAGTGTATGTACATTTTTTTAATAAAAAAATATTTAACTAGGTACCTAAGTATAAAATACTATTTATTTCAATTTTCAGTTATGTTAAGAATGTGAGCCTATTTTAAAAACTATATGAAAACTTAATATATTTTATATTAAATTATATAGGTACCTATGTATTACTAAATAACATGAGTGTCGAGTATGTAATCGTTTGAATGTTGTATAAAATAGGTAGTTGAACTCACTTTATATGGGTCATGACTTTTCAAATTAATATTGACCTGTGTAAACGTACTAAATGTTAATAAAAATGTTAATTTGGGTGTTTAATCTATCATGATGCCAAATTATTTTTTCAGTAAAATAAAATGATTAAATATTCTTAACATTTAGAAAAAAAAATAGTATTAGGTATAATAAAGTATTTTCTACAACAAACTGATGGATAATAAATGTCCACTATGTGCTACTATGATTTAAATACATTCAAGTTTTTTTTTTTTTTATATGAAGGATGTAGATAGATAGGTACTTACAATAGTCCTGAACATGATGTACAGACAAATGAACCTATGGTAACATTCACATATGTTGGTCCTCTTTGATGACAGTCGAAGCAATATTTATTTGCAGGCAATGATAATTGTTCTCTAAGCACCATTAAGTTGTATTCATCGAGTTTCTTTATACCGTTGGCCATATCGGTAACAGCAGTTTAGTCAATATTCTGATTCTTGTAGTGTACCTACCTATATGTCACTCTGTATGAATATAGTAGACTAAGATGTGATAGATTACTGAAAGGCGTACGTGCCTTAGGGACCGTTAACAGATTTATTTTGCAAATGTAATTTCTTTAAATGGCTAACAACCTACAACAGGAGGAAATTGAAAAAAAAATTTAACTCAACGGTGCTTATAAAAATGTGAAACAGCACTAATTGAAATCAACTCGTCTGAACCTAGTATCATACTTAGAATCAATTCCTATCGCATAAGCCGTGTGGACGCGCAGGGGTTCCAAAAATACTATTCTCGGACATGTCCGATACAGCGGCGTAGGCCATAGGTTTCTATTTCTGTGATACATAGACGACTAACATTTAGGACGAATGACATTTCATTGGTGAGTAGTATTTTGTGAGTAGGCGACAACTGTTATTATGGAATTCGATTTCTGACAAAATTATTACGATAAGATATTACAACTAAGTAGATAATATATAATATTATGTATATATAATAATACTGCCAGGCCGTACCGTACACAGTTAGACATAGCGTTTATGTAAGACGTATGTATAGATTTATGAATTTCTATTAATGCGTTTACAGTTGAGTACTAAAAAATATTTTCTTTTCATTTCATAACATTTTAAAATAATATTCGTGTGTATATCATAGTCAAATCTACACAAACATGAGTCTTATAACATAACAACTAGGTAGGTACCTACCAATATTATAATAATATTATAATTTATTATTAAGAGATTTTAATTTTAATTATTTTTTCGAAAAAGATAAGACAGTGGATAGTGGATACACATATAATTATAATGATAAATGATCATTATTCGTTTCACTTAAACTTATTATACATTAATTCTAAGCTAAGGAAGGTTGTTCATAACTCGCATTTAGTTAGAGAATATACCAGGTACAATAGTAGCATATATATAGCCATATAGGCATAGCCGCATAGTTATGCCATGTTTATATTATACCTATGTAACAGACATACATTTACTATCTTATATTTATATATATTATACATAGCCACATAAGTACCATTTAATTTAATTCAAAACAAAAAAATTACTATATTATGTAAACTAATAGTTACCTAGTTCAGACCTGCTATACGTACCTACCTATACAACTACCTATACCTAATCTATATACCTACTAAATACTTTTACGTAAATATATAATATATAGGTAGGTAACTTTCAATCCTGTTTGGATTTCTACGCATGAATGATTTTATTGGTTAATAATTATTAATTAAATGTAACTAATAATACGTTAAGTCGTAAAACGATTATAATAATTCAATGCGTCACTGCACGCTATATTTAGGTATGGAAATAATCATCTTAATTATTGCAGATTACTATACAGCACTATAATAAGGATAAAATAATATGTACAAATTGCTCGGATTTATTATAATTGTTTTGTTTTTCGTTCATTAAAATATTAATAATATACCTATTATGGATAAATACTAAATAACATGTTATTATTATTAATATTATCGTATAGTAGGTAGATAAAAATATTATCTTGCTTCTAAATAAATCGTCATGTTCTGGCAAATATAGCTATAGCTATATTTGTTTTGGCAAAGTCACTTACAAAAACTGCTAATTTTTACGACGACTATAGGTGCCGAATTTTGTAGTGCGTAAATAGGGACATAATTGGATTAAAACTAGTGCAGTAGTGCTTGAAATGTATTTTTAAAAACAAATAATAGTAAATAGACTATTATACTAAATATAAACATTTGAATGTTTTTTTTGTCTTACAAAATATTTAATATGTATCACGAATTAATAACTATAGTATTGTATACAAAGTGCAAAACCGAGGTGCAAACTATGCATTAATAAATCTAAAGATACGTCATTTTTTTTCATAAATATTACAGTCAAAACAAAAAAATATGGGTGTTAATAATTATGAAAGTAGGTATTTTTGATTTTCATGAATAAGAAAATAAGAACATTTTGTCATTCATACCTTCTGCTTATTTATTGGTTATTTGGTTTATAGAATAAAGAAGCTTTTTATTATTAAGTATTCATCTTTAGCAAAATACTTAAAGGTACTCATGTTTAACATATTATAAAATAAATAGTATCTAAATAGTTATACAACTTGTGTTAAATAACTTGCCATGAATTTTTTATTTTATGTAATGTACCTGAACATATTAATTATGTCCTAGGCCTTTTAAGAAATAAGTTTTTTCATGAAAATCCTAGGCTCTTTGTAAAGGGAAACCCGTTTTGAATTATTCATTTTTTCCGCAATCCGCGATTTTCTTTTGCAGTTTTCATAGAGACCAACCAACAACGGCAGTTAGACCCTTTAGAAATACTATTTTTAAATTATGAAAACTATAGAATGCACATTTTAAGACACGATATTAATAATTATTTATTTTATTATGTATTATTTTATCATATAATATATCTTTTTACAATACCTAATATCTTAATACTATTATAATAATACATATTTCATTTATTTATAAAAGTGTTTTTTGACAATAATTATAATTATTTATTCTATTAGTTATTTGATATTATATTACTAATTATTATAGTGTATTGAAATATTTGAATTGTTGTATTTGATAATATTATTTAACAAAAATTACACACCTACTATTTTATTTATTCTTGCAAGTTATATTCTCATGAAATCCCGAGTTTCAAACGACATTAATTTTTTAATAATATCAATTACTTGTCAATATAATACAGGCAATACAGCTAAATTGATGATACAATTAATAAAAGAATATCTAACAGGTGAGACCCCAAGGGGAATAACAATTTTTAATGTATAAAATTACTCTCACTGTCGGAAAAATAATAATGATCAAAATTTTAATTTATAAGTTCATCCCCTCCCCGTTCCATTGAATACTGCCTAGGGATGCCCCGGATATCTAATAATATATAGAAAAATAAATAATTATTATAATCATCGAGAAAAAACAAATAGCAAAAATAAATAAAATAATAAAATATTATTTTTTATTTTTATTTTAGCAAATAAATTTTAATTACTATCGAGTATCGATAACTCGAATCTCAAGGGGAATAATAAACATAAATTCTAATTATGTGTGTATTTTTTGAGATTTAGGTTCTTATTTTTCGAGTCATTAAATATGTCCTGTTTCTACTCTAAAAATTTTGAATTATTTAATTAATTTTTTTCACAATTTTTTTTTGTATGCTTTATGTTGTTTTGATATACTTTGTTGGTACACTTTATACTCGTAACCCAAATCGGAATCTTGGATCAGTGCCTATTATAACATAATATACTGACAATTAAAGATCTTGACCCAGGTGTGGATCCAATCTGTATTAAAGAAGAGCCTGATAAAAACATTTATAATATAGGGTGATTCGCCAAGCATGGTCATTCCCCTTTATCCTTTAATAGTGTTAAACACATTGTACATATGGAGTACCTATATTAAGTGGTGTTGCTAACTTATTATTTTTAAAGTAAATCTAATAAATCCATCTTTTTCTAGAACTGAAAATTCTTCAGCAGTTGTCTCTTTTGATAATGTTGACGAGTCTGAATCTAAATTAGGAAGAATTAGTAGTTTCTAAACTTAATGCAGATACTAAGGATAATAGTGGTTTTACCTTAAATAAAAAAAATAGATGTTGAATTTAGTCTATTACTTATACAATTCTGACAATTATTACAAATTATAAAATGTTGCTAAGTTAATATTAATTACTAGGTATACGTATTGTGAAATGTTTAAAAGCTATTTTATAGTAAAAGGGTAATTTTAAATTGTAAATAATTCGATAAAGACATTCAATGTAGTTTGTGAAAAATAAGTACCTATTCATAATAATTAATAAGAAATTACTATTGCATGTATATATATATATATATATATAATGAGGGGTGGACTGGATTTTTCTAATTGATAAAGATAACTATATCCACGTCTCTCAAGTTTTTACCCTTTTTTTTTATTTAAACTTTGTTACTACAATTAGTTAAGTATTTACTCAATAATTAATATTACGTAATTTATTATACACAACAAAAAAATATAATATACTATTTATGGGTTAATCGGATGATTGCTTACTGATGCATACTTTTTTGAGGCCAATGTAAAGTTCTTGATTCATAAAAGTGAATTTTTTACTTTAGGTACCTACCTATATTTAAGTTTTCACATTTTGTGATAGCGAAATGACCAAAGGCCGGTCAAATTATAGATTTTCCCTGCCGAATAGTTGATCCAGCCCGCCTCCATGATATAATATAATATTCATTCATATTTACCAGTAGGTACTTAAATAGTAAACATGTATACATATTTATATTCCACCCTTCCCGTTAGTGTAAGCTGGATCTGCGCCTATCTAACCCTTGAGTTGGCTCTCTCTAATTTTTTCTTAAAAATAGGTTACTCGGATTGCCTCCAGATTTAAAAATGTTCATTCAATAGAATTGCCTCCTATTTTAAGAAGTGACTATCTTGTACTGAAATCGTCTCGATAGCTAAAGTGTATAATTCACCGAGTATCGTTCAAATTACATTTGATATTTAAATTTTGGTCTAGCAAACAGAACTGATTGTTAAACCGGTGGTATTGAATAGTGAATACGATAGTCAACTAATCTTTAGCTGATCAGTGATCAATGAGATGATTGCATTCGACAAATTAATCTGTCTAGGAAATAATGTTTCCTGTTTTTAACATAACGGAAATCGATAATATTATCAGTAAGTAGTACACGCATAACTAGCGATGTATCAATTAATAATCTAGGTATGCTAGGGAGGCAATTCGAGTTAATCATTTGGATACACTCGAATTTCGTTCAAAAACACTCGGAGGCAATTCATGTCAAAAAAGTCTCTTACCTATATTTGGGAGAACTTCAGACAAAGCAATACTATATTATCTTATGTGTTAGCTTGCTTCTATAAAGACGGAAAAAAAAGAAAAAAGAAAATATTTCAAGATATAGATATATATATATGTATATACATGGGAGTAAATACTAAATTGTAGGCTATATATCTATAAATTATGTATATATGCATATAATAGTATAATATATAAATACATATAGCATATTATATTGTATTATTATTTATTGTATATATTTCTCAATGCTCACTGTATAATATTGTATAGCCTTGCGAGATAATCAAACCAGTCACTGGACAATTTAAATCAATCAAAAATAATAGCAATATACACTCACAAAATGTATTCCCTACTATTATGTATTCATAAGTCATAAATTATGACTTATGAATACACAAAAATCCTGTCTTTAGTCATAAACTCATAACAATGTTTACCTATACGGTTATACACATAATTTACTTAACCGTTTGGGCTTAAACAACCAGAGTACAAATAATAGCTATATTTATATGGATATTGCATATAAGTATATTTTATTGTGCAAGTCTGGAGGTCTGGACACAGTAGTCAGTGCTCTCAAATATTATTTCAGGTATTTCAACTTAAAATTATAATTTGTAGATATCAATTAAATGTTCTACCGTCTTAGATTTTTTCAATACTGCAGTTAAACTATTATAAAGCCAAAAAAAACAAAACAATTTAGTATACAAAATCGGGCTGTAACTTTCTACTATAAAGTAGGTGTTGATTGTCCCTTGTCACTATAAGTATTTCAGTGTAATGAATGTATCACATTTTAATTCAGTGATAAATCATTGCATACCCGCGAACAACGACTCGCCGGGCAGGAACGGTCTATCACCTTATTATCATATAAATATAAGTTTTGATACTAATTATAATAGTAAGTTGTTTTACTAAATAATAAAAATAAGGTATAAAGTATAAACAGATAATAAATGATATGCAATTAATATAAATGTTGAAAATGTCTCATCTAAAAAGTTTCAAATCTCCACGAAAAGTATTTATGATTTTCAACAAAAAAACTAAAATCGTTATCTTTCATTTAAATATAGGTATCTTATTTTGACCAAATTTTAACTTCAAATTCCTGTTAAAATATCAAGTTTATTAGGTCATAGATTTTTTATGATTATGAACTCTTTATAAGGAACCTTGTATAAATTTCCAAGCCTCAGCATTGTTAGTTCCAACCTACATATTCGAAAATTGATACATTTTTAACCAAAAAAATTTGTGCATTTCTTGATTTCGACCAATTTTATTAAAATTAAAATTTCAAAAGTTTACAAAACATATTTACCTATGTATCATAAAAAAATTATAAATGGCTATAATAACTTATAAGGGACCTTTTACTAAATTTTTGTACTGTTTTACCACTTGAACATTTTTTTATCGTTAATTTTACCTATATTTTATAGGACAAAAACCAAAAAATCGAAAATGTCAAATTTTAATGAATAGCTCAAAAAGAGCGAAAACATGTTGAAAATTATACGCCATATTATCAATTAGATTGTAGGTATAAAAATTAATAATACAGCTATTTAGTGAAAATTACAACAACCTATCGTCCTATCTATAGTCATTCGTTTTAGAATTAAAACAAAATAAGAAAGTAGTTTGTTGAGAAATCGTTATTTTACTCATGATAATATTATGTTATTTTGAGAATATCTAAACTTCAGACTTTGATAAAAAATACTTTTATAACTATGCACTCAACCATTTTTTAAATTAAATATCTTAGGTAGGTATAATCGTATAAAAAATATCAATAATTTACTATAGGAATTTTTAATTATAATACAATATGAACAATGAACATCTTCCCATTTTTGACGAATTTTGAAGGAAGGTCTCACTAAAATTATTATTATTATAAGTTATAACTATGATTAGTTTTTAATATTACGCAGGTAAATATAGAAGTATATTTTTCTTCGTGTTAATTTTCTGCGTATTCTGTGTCACTAAGTAGGCCTTTGAAGGATTATCGTCTCATCTAATTTGAGGCAACAGAAATACCGCAGAATATAAATGTATATTCTATACCTATTACATTTTATATTGAGTGGAAATATGACAACATTTGTTTATTTATTTATTTTATCATTTCAGATAACTTTGTGTTGTAATAAGTTAGAATTGACTTATAGTTGAATAAGTATTTATTTATTATTTTGTAATTACTTAGTATGAATAATAAATAATTATTGAACTATAACACACTTGTTTTGTGATTATGTAATTTACTATGCGTTTATGCACAATGTACATATTAATTATTAGCATGTAATCGCTGACAGACCGAATGGTCGGTTCATGAAGTATTAGAAGTAAGAGCATCGGTTCATCTGGATAAGTCCAAATTTCCAGTTGGGAATATAAATAACAAACAGTACAAAAATCTAAATTATTTTGCTAAAAAATATTAGATAATATAACTTTTTTATAACATAAAAGTTCATGGGGCGATCTGGTATTAGGTACCATACATAGGTACCAATTTTTATAAATTGTATCCATTATCTACTACTACACGTCAAACTGGACATAATTGTCAATTGTACAAAAATAATGACACCTATCTGTTTATTTTTTAATTTTTAAAATATAAATGTCACGTGGAAAAGCCGGATAGGTGGGTGACGCTCTGCTGTACAATAGATTATAAGTGGTAATGGATAAGTAATGGATAGTGTTAAATTTGAATTCTATTATATAATATCCTTGTATACGAAAAACGATTCTGAGAGGGAGACGGTTTGACGGCCTAGGATATTTTATAATTTTATTTATGTATATGTTTTTCTTACATTTTCTTTATTTTTCCCGGTGCTTTTGAAAACTACTTGGAAATATCCAGAAATAACATCCCACGGGAAAAGATACTGAAGTTTAAAATCGAAGCATTATTTAGATTACTTATTGTGTATATAGTATATAGACACAAATAATAATAATGAAAAAAAACACATGTCATTTATACATCAATACATTTATTGCTCCTTTTAGAACCTAAAATGTGTAGGTATTATACAGTTATTATTTTGGGTAATTACGTTAAAAAAAACACCCCATATAATATATTACTATGATGTACCACGTGCCAATGAGTCATGAGTGGGTATTATAATAATTAATATTATTATAATGGTTCTTCTGTTGCGTCTGACTGGGCGGCGAGTGGAATTTATTGTTGTGTACTGCACAGACGTTTTTATGCGACGCGGTCAATGTGTGTTTAATGGATAAGGTTATTAATATAAAAAGAAGCGTACCCAATAATTTCTTGTTTGCACGTGTCCTATATCTATATGCCGATACGTATATTATGCACAAGGTAGAACACATATACATGCATTAACATAGAATACTAATAATAATTTATAGTACGCAAATAACATTAACATAGGCATGTAGACGTAGCTGTAGGTACTGGTGTACTTCAACTTCATAGTATATGATTATACTATACGTAGGAACGTAGGATTAAATAAATTGCATACCCATTATCATTAAATCAAAGCAGGGGTATTGCTTATGGACCATATTGTATGGTATTATTCTGTATTCATTATCGTTTCCAAGTTAAAAATCAATACCTGGTTTTTTCTTAACTTACTTCAGAGTTAAAATATACGATTTAAGTCTCAAAAAGTTCTCTAAATTACCTACATATTTTACTTAAGGCAACTAAAACTTAAATATGATTTTATATTTTTATCGATCATACACATTTTACGACCAAGAATAAAAAAGAAATTATATCTTCAAACTTTCATAGCAGTAAATAGTAACTATATATGGTAACTAGTACCACTACTTATACAGTACTGCTATATATAGGAAACTACCATTATCTAATACTAGTTTTTAACATTTTATCATGTTAAAAATAAAATAAAACCTTATTAAATTTATTATTAAGGTGAATTTAATTTCAACGTTAGGATGCAATAAAGTTTTTAATTTTAATTATTTTGGGGCGTCGACAGGACGGCTAAAAATGTCAGATAATACTATAAAAACAACAGAACAAAACCGCCTACATTTGCGTGGTATGACAATATGACATTGTCAATATATTGACATTTTACATTACACAATAATAGTATATTATAATGTAATATTTTATGTATTAACTATGTATAATAATAAATGTACAGTTCAATATTGTATATACACGCACCAATTTATATCAACATGACATGACGACGTAGCCACGTAGGTACCTACGACCTACCATGTATATAAAGTACATATCGATTCTTGATTTTGAATTCGGGACGCATGAGGGATGACCACAGAAAGTTCTATACGAACAGTTCATAGAACCAAGTTGGATCTATATAATATTATAGCATTTTACAATATTAAAGCCTACCTGACAGAGGGCAGATAATAATTTATTGCACTATACTATTGCTGCATCACATATCATTTTATATTATTATGCCAAGAAATGGGTTGAATATATTGTAATATTTATATTCTGAATTTGGATATTTGGTAAAATTACTTTTTGGCTTATTATTGTCAAATGTTTCAAATTATGCAATTGCTGTTTATGGGCGACTTAGTCAAATACGAAAGGTCTGTATTATTTTCGAGTTTGAAATTATTGGCTGGAGATGGGTATAGCCGGTATAGGTATATAATATATATATTGCATCAAAGCGATCGATATACAAGCACAAACGTGACTAGACTCCTATAATAAGGATAGAAACGTCATTACGTGTGATGGTAGATGGGATATGTGGTTTCTATGTTTTATTGGCCTGTCGGCTGGCACGAAACTACATTTGTGCAGAATCAATTTCGTAATATATTTTTCAAAATATTGAATTTATTTATTATATATTTTTTTTTTTTGGCTTTTGTAGATCCAACAAAATAATAATAACTCGTAGCTCGTTGAATAAAAAAAATCGGTTGATGAAATGTTTGTTTTTTTTTTTATTAATACAATACTGAAATTGCACAATCACCAGTGTTAGTATTAGGTACTAAATATTTTTTATTATTTTATACCAGTTTACACAAGACTCACACTTCTTAACTTCGCGACGATCAATTCGATTTCCACGACGCTGGGAGCCATATGTCGTGACAACGATGATCATGTCACGATTTAGGACTATATCTTTCCAGCCACCTGTACATGCAAAACGGAACATACATACTCAGTAACTTAACGTATTGCAAAACGTAAAAACACTGAAAACAATAATTATTTATACTGTATAAATAAGTAATACACGGTGAGTATTTTTATATACGACACTACGCTTATTGCAATACTACTCATACTTACATTTCTTTACACTTTTTTTTACATAATATTCACCGTTAATTTTCATTAGAACTACTATTGGATACTTATAAATTAGTACAATAATTATTTGTGTTCAGATTACAATCTTCAATGCTGTGCTAAATGAAAATATAAACTTATTTTAATGTAAATTGGTATAACATAAAGAATAAAATATAAAAAATAAAATGGACACATTATTTTAAAACCAAAGTCTTGGTACGATTTTGTAGTAAATATTTCATAGTAAAAACTAACACACTGCGTGAAGAAAAATTGAACCCGCGACCCTACGTGAGCAGAGCGATGAAAGTATTACAGTTTTACTTTTTAGGGTGATGTGTTTTTTTTGCCTGACATCACCTTTAGTAACACTATAACTTCAACTTTGAGAATGATTTCAGGTAGAAAATTCGATCTAGTTGATACTTTGAAGGAGGGGAAAGGGGTAATAAACAAAAAATCCCAGTATATTTAAAATTATAAATTGGATTATTAACTTGAATTAGTTATTGTCGTATTCAGTCCGTATCACATTTCTGTTAAAAATAATGAACTAATTTTGTCTCTGTTTTTCTAGCCGTGAAAAATTCATCAAGACCTCTTCAATACGAAGTTGCTATTCTCGGTTATTAGTTTTATTAACGTATGTATGACTGTGTGAGTACATTATTGAAATTAGAATTCGAGTATAAATCATTAAATTATGTTATGTTACAACTTACATTCGGTATTTTAAATACTGCATTCATCGTTAATTATTATAAAGACAGCTAACCAACAGATTAAATTTATAACAACGTTTAGGACACATTTGTTTTGTTTTTTGTAATTTATTAACTAATGTAGATTATACAAATTCAAATAAAATTACAATGTATAAAAACTAAAAAAATGGTAGGTATTTTCAAGAAAATTTTTGGAGATCTTATTTTTTAATTTTTCTATTTCAATTAAATTTCCTCCAACTGTGTTAACCGATCAGAGTTTTGAATCTCATGAGTAATTAAACATTTTAAATATTTAGCACTGGACACTGATAATGGACTGTGTGTAAGCGATATAGTATTTTTCAATGTACTGAATCACAAATCTTCCAACGACAAAATCGTAGCAAAGATTTGTAGAGATTTAAATTTACAAAAAAACAGAAACGACATATACTGTTAAAGTACACTAATTTCTTTGAATCATTATTAATGTTATAACTTATAATAGTACTGTAGTGTTTAGGTTTAGTATTGTACTTACCTACTATAGTTACCGTTAATGCTGAACCAAGAATAGAGAATGGTGTGAATAAAAGGAAATATTGTTTCTTGATTCATCAGTATGATAATGCAGGTACCTGGTACCTATTAACCTGTGATTATATTTCTCTGATGACAACAAATGAGAAATATGTATGTGTGTGTTGAAATATTCGTGTACTTCACGTTTTGTGCAGTGTAACTGCGTAAGAGCTTAGATCATTAGAGCAAAATAGTCTGCACTCTGCAAAGTGATGTCTAAAAAAATTAATTCGTCGGTATGTATTCTGTATTATTAACGTATAAGGTATTAAGGTAGTACAAAAGGTTGCCTATATGTATATTTAGATATGGGAACTGTTAAAATTAGAAACTGTTTTTTTTACTGACCATTAGAATTTGACAAACTTAAATTAAAATATTTAAATTGATTAGATTTATATGATATTATGTTTGTATTTATTCAGTGAACATAAGAAAATAAGATAAGTGTACATATTATATATTACAAGTATCTACATTAAATATTTCAATGCAATGTCAAATTCACAATTCACAGATTCTCTCTCTCTCTCTCTTATAAATATATATCTATTAAGTACCTACTGACTCTGTGCATAGATGTTACTTAATAAATTGAATATGAAATTGTATTAACAATATACTGTCAATTCTTATTCCATTACACTAGTTCTGCACGTTATTATTTGTTTCCCCTTGGTCTATATAGATACGATCACTTCCGCGAGTTTCGTAATTTAAGACGTCTGCAAATTAATTCAATTCTCTGCACAGGGAAAAAATGGCTTCTTTTGTTTATCGTATTGGGTTACGTGCATATCATAAAATTTAATATTTCTCACGAATACCATATAAAATCTAGACAAATAATATTAAAAGAAAATTACCTCGACTATTATTCGCAAGTAAGTTGTTGGCATATTAGCATTTTTTTTTTCATCATTTAGCAGACCATATTATGCTACATTATTACTTCGAAAAACGTATTGGGTTGAGTTCAGCGTATAAAACTATAAAATAAAAAATATAATATATTGTATAAAATGGAACTCTCTTAGTCTATAGACGAATAATATTTGAACAATATCAAACTCGATAATTATTTGCATGTACATTATAAAATATTTACTTACTCGTACGCTGCAAAAGCAGTTGAAAAGTAGAAAGTATAGTAAAAAGCCCCCTTGCTTACATATTGTGTTTACTTATACACCACACATAAAAACGTCCTCTACGATATATCCTACCACCCACGCGACATGCATTCGAGTGCATACGGTCGCAATTATGTAGTTCATTTTGTGTTCAGCGAGTAACCAAAAAATGTAGTCCTTTAGAAAAAATTGTCTTCCAAATTTATAGGTGACTGCTGAAATTTATGGAAGTATTTTGTTAACGGTAATTCATAAGTACAAATTTGATTTTTTTGAATAATAAAAATATATTTTTTACCATACTATTTAGGTATTCTTTACTGCTTTTAACCAAGGTTAAAAAAAATTCTAAGTATTTATTACTGTAAAAAATATATTCTATGTTTGTAAACGAAGCATTCTACTCAACAAGTCAACATTATAGTTGTACCTTGTAAATTAAAGGTATATATTTTTTTAAATAATAATTCCATATAGCCATATAGGTACCTACCAACTTATTTCTATCAATAAATTTTGATTGTTTATATTATTCTAGCAATATATTTTAATTTTGTGCTTAAAGAATTAGTGTGTGTTTTTAAAATTCAAAATATTTCATGAATAGCTTTTTTTTATAAAACATCATGTTATTTACTGTTTCTCATTGAATTTTAAAATGTATACCGGCAATAAGTAAATACAACGATGTCTTATAAAACGTAGTGCTTTATTGCTTTTTTCTATTTTGGTTTTTAAGAATTGGTAGGGTTTTTAAAAATAAATGAAAATTATTTTCATCAGTTATATTTTATTTTATAAATTGTACTTACAACTATAGCCTATAGGTAGGTACAGATGAAAATGATGCTAATTGCCAAAATATAAGTGACTTTATTTTTACTACATAATTTTTTACTCAGCCACAAGTCACATTTTACAGATTTAAATTTGTCAACAACTTTACTTTTTAACTTTACTTAACTGAATTTTTCTTCATTTTTAAATTTCTACCCACTCTTTTTTCTTAAAATCATTGTATAAATAACAAATAATAATTTTTTTTCCGTCAAGTATACAAATTGGTTAAAATAGTAAAAACTACAAAAAACAAAAAATTCGATGTAATGTTAAGCAATTTAAAATCTATTTTCAGCTATAACTCTAGATGTCTTGTCCAACAAATCAACCCACTGTATGATTGGTAAAAAGAAGCTTCATACGATATAGTGACATATTATGAGTGTGGAACTTACACGTAATGATAGGCGTGCATGTATATTTCACACCAACGATAATTAACTAGTTATTAAGCAAACAATCACACAACTCGTACAGTCGTACTAGCAGTGTATGGTGTATCTACTACTCTTCGTATTGTCGTATAGACTATAGAGATCCCTTTAAAAGCAAGTCGTTTGCAGTCAATAATATTTGCCGAAAATACGATGTAAATATATATGTAATTAATAATAATTATGTTAGAATTTCGGTTAATACAAATTTAATTACGATTTATAGAGACAACAAAAAAATAGATATTTAAATTCATAGTGAAGGCTAAGGGGACGCTGCTTAGTAATGTGGATAAATACGTCCACCGAAGACCGAACTGTGTTCAGACAAAAAAAAAATGTATACGGACTGTACGGCAAAGCCACACAGTTAAGACTGAGCAAACTCTTCCTTGGACTTCAAGTGACAGTCACCAGTAAACATTTGTATACAAGCGAATACTGCTGTAAATTCGAGGATGTCGAAATTGAATGAAGCTCACGCTTGAAATGTTAATAAGACTTACCATTAACACAAAATATAGAAGCAATAGGTAGGTATATAGAAAAAAGTCACCAAATAATTATTTATTATGTTTTGTCTCCTATACAGGCAAATAAAAAAAAGATCAATCTCTATTGGGGTCAAGGGTGATACTCCTGCTTGGAAAGAATCTCTATGACTATGAATACATTTTGCGATCACGAGGGGACATCTGAATTGCCCTAAAAGAAGAATTGACCTAATTGAACTGTTTTGACTTCTCTGCAAATTGAAACATTTGGAGTTGGAACATACAATCTATAGTATCTAGTAACTACTATCATTTTTTATTAATGTACCTAGTGTCCTAGTATATATAGTATAATATTAGAATTCCTTTTATATTTATTATTATTATTATTAAACGCGTATGAAGCAGTACAAGGTTGTCACTTGTCGAGATGCATATACCACCGTATATCGACATGAAGACTACGTATGTGTATCCGTATATTGTGTATAATATATAATATGTACAAAGCTAATTTACACATACATATCATCACATATCATCATTCATCGTCATATATTATGTATAGGTGTATTTATATGCGAGTGTAAACAATATATAATAACATACCTAGAGTATATAAAATATACAGCCATTCAGGGTGATTATTTTATCCTTCATCAATAATTTTGATCAGTCATTGTAGCGATGTTAAAAATATATATTTGTATAATTTTGAAAGCAAGACGCCACAACGATTTTGAAAAAATTTTTTATTTTTAATATTTTTTATGTTGACTACTTTTTAAATAACAACATACATTTTTAAATCATACCTATTCAATATTCAAAAGTGGAATATTTTACTAAGAATAATACACAATTATTTACAATCAATTTTTATGAGTGGTATGCGGAGAGGGCAGAGTGGGACCACGACAAAATGTTGGTCTATTATACTCTCCACCCAAGAGCCATCTTAACTTAAGAGTCTGTCTCATTGAAAATTGTTGTAAATATTTTTTTTCAGATTATTTGTACAATTATATGTACATATATAATATGCACATTCATTTTTTAAAAATATTTGTATTATAACAAATCATGGACTCTAGTGCATTGGACTGTTATTCATGCCTTTATAGACTTTATACGTGATAATATGTATATCATAATTTTGTATAACAGCAAATAAATGGTAACTTTAAACTAATTAAATAATACTTTAATAAATGGTTAAAAATAATAATTGGAAAAAGTTGAATTCCTCTCAATATTTTGTGGTGTATTACAATTTTTAAATAGCCTAAAGCCTTAAACCTAACCCCCTCAAGATTAAGCTCCAGCTACGCTACTGATGAGACATGAACCTGAATTTTTTGTACTTACTAATAAGTTATAACTATAATTAATTACGAAGTCGAAAAGTCTAATTTTTGGGTAGGCAAACCATTAGAAAAATTATCCATTTTAGAATATTATATTAAAACCTGTCATCGCATTTGAAAAAGGTAAAAAATAAATACAAATTTTAATTGACCCCCCCCCCCATCCCCCAAAAAGTTGTGTATTGTAATAATTGCAAATTGTGTAAAAAATGTTTCTTAAAAATATTAAAATGTTGGTAATAATAACATAGAAGATGATTCTCTTTCGTGATAACCATGAATCGTCCTGTATACATAAGACTATAAGAGAATGTTATTGCGCGGGCGTCGGTGGTTTATTCGCGTATCCTATAGCAATTAGGTAGGTTAATATAAACGTGACAGGTTTTTTGTTGGTTGTATGTACAACCAACAACTATTGTTCAGTTTTTATTTATACACCAAACAATAAACCTAATATAAAATATGTATAATATACACACATATCATTTATACATGCACAATAATAATCATAATACGCATGCACTGTAGGTAGTACACGTACAATAATAATATAGTACTTACATTATATACAAAACGTTCGCTGCCGTACCGCATGCGTCCAGACACAAAATACCTACCAACGCAAGCGATATATGTATTACCTACATAATAATATTATTATATGAATTTGATGGCACGATGAATAAACAATTATACTGCTTGCACGCTCACAATATTAGCGTGAATCAAGGCCGCGATGTTTTCGGTTAAAAAATCGCTTATCACGATGGATACGGCGTATTATAATAATAATTAAATGTTAATATTCATTTTGTCGACGGCTCGACGCATTGCGCAATATGACACATTATTAATAATTATAAATTATTATTTTTTCCTCACCTATGTACCTATATATAATACCTAATGTCTCATGCGTAGATATAGGCACTTATCGACTACCCCGTTCCGAACGACTACGTTTTCACCGTTATATTATGTGCCATAGCCCGTAATTCCGCAACGGCTTTTTATGAGGCCCGGCTATCAGTACCTACCACCACCAATACTAGTCAAATCATTAGTTTCGAAATTAAAGAGAATGACTATTATCGTACACGGACTTATACATTTTGAAATTTGCCCTTTTTTCAATTTTTTAAATTAAGATAATACCATTAATAGGTACCTATGTGTTGGGTAAAATACGTTTGACAAGTAAGATTTGTATAATTATGGCATATACTATTTAATACATTAATTATTCGATAGTAATTAATATGTGAATTTCTTCATGCATTTTTTTAATTTTTAAATTTAACATTTTACTATATATTCATTAATATTTTTTTAATATTCTATCGTGTCTGCAGTAGTACACCTAATATACAATCAAACTTGTAGAATAAAATAAAAATGTATTGCTATTAATATAAGCCCCAGAATATATAATATTAAAAACATGGTACCCATCCTTTATACTTGCAGTAAATTGTTCACATGTATAGTTGATACGGTTTTGCCTAAATGACGTTGGTAAAAAAAAAGACATTTTGTCCAAGTAGCAAGTACCATAAGCAGTTCACGTTTTGCTAGGGGAATTTTTGAGGTACACCTATGATTTCGAATTATGCCCGCAACGGTGGAACATATATTTTATATGGTTTACCTATTAGAAATGGTGGTTGGATTAGATTTAAGTTCGGTCTTCTGGGTGACACTTCTTTGCCAACGAGGTGGACATATTATAGTTATCTAGGCACGGTTTACCTATAAAATAAATAGGCTATGGGTAAATGGTATACGCAATAAATACGGTTTAAAAATAAATATTAAATAAAAGGCTACAGTAACTAATTTTGTTCGTATGGACGTAAGTACAAATTATTTGGTCTCCAAACTTGAAAAACGATTCTGAATACCGAGGTCGATTGTTAATGTCTTATGTCATTTTTGTATTGAGATCTTTAAATCTTTCATACCTGTAGTTTGTAGTATAAGTTATCCGATCCTTGTGCTGTGAGAAACCACCGACACAATGTCCAATAATAATTTTAAAAATGATCAAAAAACTCTTGTATTCAACAGGTATTCAATATATTTTATGAGTTTATGACGATCGATGAACATCAATTGATAGGCCCATTAGAGGTAAATGCAAATATAAATCTTAATTTTTGACATAGCGTGTTTGTAATTTTGTATTCTCAACAAATAAGTTAGACGTTTTGCAACGTGCTTCAACGTCTTAAACATTGTTGTGTATCAAATATAATTTATCCGGAAGGGATATGATTATAATAATATTACGAACGTTTTTTATTGGCATTTTGCACTCAATACTCATTCAACTCGAAAAAATATGGATAAAAAATATGAAAACTCAAACATCATCGTCGGCTGGTTCAAAAATACAATATAATAATGGACCATGGACGACATTGTTATAATACGTTCTTGTGAAAACAATCGAAAATATGTACCTATTGTTAGTATTATTTTAATTTATTGTATTATATTATACACATTCACAGTACACAGTATTCGATTAATTCCCGCGTCGTCGTCCCGTTGTTTTACACCTGCGGTCGGCATTCGTCTATCAATTATTATTTTAATATTATAATACCTATTTAGATAGTAATATTCAATATACCTAGTCTAACTATTATAATATGTGAGCGAGTGCGTGACGTGACGTTCGGCAATGCGATATTATAGCGCTAGGTTGCTTATAAGTTATATTATAAATAATAATAATAAAATGGTATAGTGTCGCACGTTATTATTGTTGCGTATCACCCAGGATGTAATTATATTAAATAAATTCATTTGAAAAAAAAAATAATAACAATACTAAAACAGCGAGTAGTGATTCTTAAAGGATATTCTTAAATAATAAATCATAAATAGTAGGTACCTAATTTTAACATCGAAAACTGAAAAGGCGTGCGGCCGATTGTAGTTCTCGTCGAATAGCATAATATACCTAAGTGTAGGACCTAGGTAAAAAAACAGGACGATAAAATATTGTATAACATAATGAAATGTGTCGTGTATTTTTGTTAAGCACGTCAGAGTACAATAATATTCCATAGAAATTATGTTATACTAGACAAGCGATGAGTAATATAGAAAGCGTAACAACATAGAGGGCTTTAGGAGTTTTTTGATTACTCGATTACTAGTACTCATGGTAGTGCGGGGTCGGGGGTAGTATGGTAAGATATATAATATATAGATATTTAGATTGGTGTGTAGGTTTATCGTCGTAAAGATAGCCCGAATCACTGCTAGATGTTGTTACGCCGCTCGTAATATGCTGTCGTATGTAAATACGCAGTTCTTGGCTAGTAGTATAAGATCTATGTATAATATTCGTTTAGGCAGTTCGCCGTATCATCGCATTAAGAAAAAAGATTAGACTCAGAGTACCTAGAAATAAATAAAATAGTGCATATTATGCTGCGGACATTTTTCAAAACCATAACTGTAATAAGCAATAATGAGATTATGTAGGTAGTTATAGGCCAGCTGTATTCAAACATTAATTACATTGTGTTTGTGTCTCACTTTGAGTATGGGTGTATTAAAAAATGACTTAGCCCGGTTCCATTAATAAAATACAATTGTGCGCAGTTTCTTACGCCTGGCTGGTTAACCATACAATAACTAAATAATAATAATATATAACATGCCATGGACGGTTGAAAATGACTACTCCGGGGTACCGACAAATAACTCAATCATTCATTGACCTATACATACAGTGTACACGTGCCAGTCCAGTCGTCGCTCTTTGCGCGGCTGTTGCTGTGTAGCCCGGCAGTGACGACAGCGAACGCCGAACGTGATTAATATACGCCCACCGGTCGATCGCCGCCCACGTATTTAAACTCGTCGGTGTACGAAACCTATAAATAAATTAAGGAAAAAATGATACAATTATATAATAAAACAATAGCGGTGTTGCCAAAATTTCAAAGACGAGTAGGTACCTATCGGAAATGTCCTACCTGTCTAGCTGTAATGAATAGGTACCAATACTATAGTGAACTTTACTATTACCTACCTATATAGCAGTGCAGCAGCCAGGATTTTCTTTTGAATGGGAGGGGGGGGGCTACAATATTTTATTGCTAGGGCTTGGGTACTGCCGCGTATGGTGACTGGTATTTTTGGAGGGCTTAAACCATTAAGCCCTCTGTAGCTACGGCACTGCTACTTAGTACCTACCTAATCATTCAATCCGAAATAACGGCTGCGAATTACGTGCTAAAATTCAAATTCTATTCGGATTGTTTGCGAGTTTTCATTGGGTGCGACCGAATTAATTATATGCCTGATTTTTATAATAGGTGTACAAAATAATTTAAATAACTTTAATTGAATAGATGTAAGTAATTAATCGTTAGGTTTAAGCATTGAAATTTGTAGATACTTTTACAAAGAATAAAATATGTTTAGAAAAGCCCAAAAAATCAATTGTAGATGAAATGGGCGATATAGGTACTCGTTTCCACCATAAAACTTTTGGAAACCAATGATCTTACATTTTTAGACAAAGTATAAAATATGTATGTATTTAGTATTAGGTATCCGCCAAGTAATATAAATTACAATTACATTTAGGTTATAGTGTTTTCAAATGTATGAATAATCTCCAAGACTCTACACTAATATAATAGTAATATCATAAGCGTGACTAGGCGGGGGGAGGGGGGGCAGGAGCTCTTCCCAAAAGACTCATAGCCCGCTTAAGATTAATCTCCGAACTTTTATGAAATCAATGCAAAATGAATTTATTTATTTATTTATTAAGCATTTAGCTTATTGCACAGTAAAATACTGCACTATTACTCTAGATAAGATGTATTCTCAGCGGTAGGCGGAAAAAAGCCCAGAAAAAATATATAAATGTGAACACATGTATCTTACTCTACTCCTAATAAGTAATTGATAATTCAAAAATTGCTTTAGCCAATATACTCGTATGTAATTTTATATGGGATATTCAATTTCAAATGTAAATTATTTTATTTCTAAATATGGCTTATGCTTAACTATTTATTATACATAAAATTATAAAAAATTAAATTTGTTTTAATACAACAATAATTTGTGAATTATTAATTACTAATTGGAAGTAGAGCATAGATACAAATTATGTTCACATTTATAATAATTTTTTCTAGGCTTTATTTTCGTAGACTTTCTTTCCTCGATTCATATTCAACACCAATGCCAACGATATCACGGTGGACAATAGACATAAATTCATAAGATATTTTGCAATTTTTACCTGATTAAAGTTCTGTTAAGTGCATTTATATTTTATCGTCAAGTTTGGTATTGACCTATTTCATCGTGGATTACAGGCGATATTTAGCCAAAGTTAAAAGTTTATAATCTATACCTTTTTAAAAACTTGGTAAATGATAATACACCTGACTTTAAATTTGAAAACTTGACTTGAAACATGTTGTAAACAGTTTCAATAGTTATAATAAAATAGTATTTTCTTAGTGGACACTTAGGTAGGTACATGAATACATGATGGTACGAAGGTACAGTGAAAATTGCAAGCCTCAAGCTAACAAGTTGGTCAGTTAGTGAGACTGTCAGGACAAGTTCCATCATATTATATCCAAGACATATTATCCATAAATAAAACCTTCTCCGTGTTTCGACCGATCTATTAGTGAAAACCATATTAAAATACGTAGAGTACTTTTAGAGATATGCGAGCATGTACAAAAAAGAGGCTTCTATTTTATAATGTATTTTATAACCCCCTATTTCCCCTTTAGGAGTAGAATGTAATATGCCAGAGAAATATTTGCGGGAGTGTATTCAACAACTTCCCTAAGTTTCATTGAGATCAAATGAACGGTTGAGGAAGGAATAAGAAACATGCAACCATTTATTTTTATATAATATTATATAGATTTATTATATTTTATAATTAATATTGGAGATGTATGGGTAGGGTCAAAGTGCCGTTGGATTAGAATTTAGGAACCTAAAATTGTTGGGCTATTGTTGAGTACCTACTTAAGTACACTATGAAGTGTATACTCATGATATTGTTACATTTTTATTCTATAACAAATGGTTCCCAAACAATATTAATTAATAGAAGCGCATTTTCATAAAAAAAAACACATTTGCCCAATGAAACAATAGTAATATTTATAGTTATAAGGAGTGACATAAATCGAGCCGCGGAAGCAGTGCGAAAGCAGTCCCCGCGGCGCCGTCGGTTCAAACGGGAAAAAAAAGGAGTGACGTAAATTATATGCCCAGGGTGCCAAAATTCTAAATAGATTGCAAGGATAGATTGGAGATTGCAAATTTGTCAACGTATTTTAATTATTTTTATTAAATATTAATTAATGACAGTAATAATAATGTGATCATGTTTTTTGTTTTTATATTGCCTACGAATGAAAAAATGAGAATGTTACAAGGATTACAAGTTTACAAGGATTTCTATAGTATACATTTTATCTGAGACATTTTTGAGAGCATATTTCATCGAAACATAATCTTTAATAAGAATAATATTTTATGCACCTAGGTATTTGAATGCAGTATGCCTTTTTCTTTATAATAGAAAACTTTTACTAAAAAAGCATTCAAGATGTTGAGATTTCATAATAGAAACATGAGTAATTTATAAATATTAATGCATTAAAAATATTATTCCTCAGGCTACTCTCTTGTCAGATTTTATCTTGCTCTTGGATCCTCAGTCTGTTCACAGAGTTATTCTTCACATATAAATGTTAATGAAAATTTCAACATATATTTTTAAAATTAGAGGGTATGTTTTAAATTAAAATATACAATAATATGGATAACAATACACAACTAAAAATATAGATTTTCTTCCTTTTTAGAACAAAATAATATGACGTACTTTATATTGAACTTATGATATAATAAAAAATTATCAAGCCATACTTTCATAATTTTAGTATCACAAAAAAAGTCAGGGTGTATTAATGATAACCTCTGATAACTGATGTTTGAAAACAAAAATTATTTAACAAGGTTTTAAAAAACGGAAAAAAACTATTGAAATATTTAAATTTTTTAACTAGTTATCCTTTACTTATAAAAAAAATTTATAATGTTGAACTTTTTAACAGGTGAACACAAACAATAAGCTAAGGGCGGCTACACTCTGCCAACATTGCCTAGAACCGCCACTGCGTGTATTGCAAGCAATACTTTTAATGTAATTTCAAATACAAACAATATAGGAAAATAGTATCAAATGAAATAGAATTTTTTGTCTTGAATTGTGCATTTTTTGTAATTAATTTTATGTTAATATTATTTTAATCTTGTATAGTTTTATATCTGTAATAATATAAATTTATTTAACATCAAAAATAATGTTAAAAATGGGTTTATTTACAAAACACAAAAGTCAACACAGTAGAAAGTTTAGAAAGACTTGATTAATGCTTTAATAGAAATTAAGTTAAATATATGTTAAGTGTCATGAAAACAATATTGACAATATTATATAAATGTATTTTTAAGGTTAGATATATAGTTATTAATAACTACAAACTACACCCGAGGATCTAATATATCTTAATTAACAGTGCATATGTAGCAGGAAACCATTGAGTTATGTTGGTTATCCAAAAGAGTAAATGAGTATAGTGTGATAAGCTAGAACTTAGGAATGTTTGGGTCAAATAGTTAAAGCATAGTCTAACCTATCAAATACAGATAAGGAAAAGTAGACTATTTAATTGTAATGAATTGTTTGCATTAATTGTATATTCATAACAATTATCTAGTGGCTGAAAGTATGACCATAATATTAGCAGTAATGTTTGCATAATTTTATAGTCATTCATTTCTCTCTTGACGGAAAGGAAGATCAGTAAAAAAGTTATACATTTACAATTTGGAGTAAAGAAATATATTAAAAAAAGCTTATTACATCTTATTCCACGACTTACAAAGTCTAATCTTAATATTTAGTTAAAGCTATTCTTTAGTTTAAGGAAACTCAATTTTTAAGTATAAATTATTATATAATAAATATAATAAATGCAACTTATCATAGTTCAAATTAAAATTTTGTATATAGAATACAATTAATGGAACAGATATTTTTAGTGAAAAAGTTATGAATACTATTTTTTGAATTATTTTTTTTGAATTGATTTATAAAATAAATCTGGATTAAAATTCAACTTCACTGTTATTTGTTTTTGAAATTTTTAATTTTTGAAGTCTCTGAATTGTTTCTTCAATACTGAATTCACCATGAACATTGTTGTCTCTTGTGCGAACATTGACAGTGTTTGCGGTCCTTTCTTTATCTCCAACAACTAGAATATTATTAATTTATTCATTAAAATAATTGATTTAAAAATTACCAATAAGTTAATTAATTAAGATACAAACCTAGAATGAAGTTATATTGTGCCAACTGTGCATTGCGAATTTTTTTGTTTAAAGTATCACCATGATCAACATCTACATCACACATAAATCCAGCATCGTATATTTCTTGTTTTACCTATTGATAAGATTTAAATTATGTTAATACAATAAATTATTATGTCAACAAATAAATTAAACTTGCTTTTTCTGAATAATCGTCAAATTGAGGACCAACAGGTATTACAACAACTTGTCTAGGCGACAACCAGAATGGCCATTTTCCAGCAAATGATTCAGTTAAAATGGCTATCATTCTTTCTACTGAACCGAATATAGCACGATGTATGATTACTGGACGTTTCTTTTCTCCTGATTCACTATAACAAAATTTAAGGATTAAATAATCAATAATTTATAAATGAATTATTGGCATTTGCTAACATTTTGACAGTATTTTAAATTAAATACCTGATAAAATTTAAATTAAATCGAATTGGGAGCTGGAAATCAAGTTGTATAGTAGCACATTGATGTTGGCGCTTTAAAGCATCTGAAATAGTAATATCAATTTTTGGTCCGTAAAAAGCACCATCTCCTGGGTTTAATGTCCATGGTTCACCAAATGAATTTAAGCTATCAGCTAATTGCTATAAAATGTGTGAAGAAAAATTAGAAACATGTTATAATAAAATATTTTGTGTAACTAAATAAATTACTAAATACATTATATTAAAAATTTTGAAATCTACTTAGTATAAACAAAATGTAAACATTTAACCTTTTCAGCATTTTCCCACATTTCCAACTCGCCTAAATACTTGTCAGGTCTTGTAGATAAACGAAGATGGAATGTGAATCCAAATACAGTATATACGTGACGTAAAAAGTCTAATGAACTCATCATTTCTTGACCAATCTAAATTAAATAATAACAAATTAATGTACTTGAATATTTCATTTATTTTGATTATGTCTAACCTGATCAGTAGTACAAAATATGTGAGCATCATCTTGTTGAAAACGTCGAACACGTGTTAATCCTGTTAAAGCCCCTGATAACTCATTACGATGAAGTACGCCAAAATCTGCCATTCTAAGTGGCAGTTCTCTCCATGATCTATTACGTTGATCAAACATTAAACTGTAAACAATTGTATAATATTTTAAATTATAAAAGATCATTTTTTTGTGCTTTATTACCAAAGCAAAATTGGACTAATTGTTTAAATAATTAGGTAAAAAAAAAAATTACTGATTTATGTGCTTACCAATGGCCAGGACAATTCATTGGTTTCAGAGCATATGTTTCTTTCTCAACATCAAATGAAAACATGTTTTCCTGGAAATAAAATTATTTGGAATTAACATTTACAATTACATAATAATCAAATTATGAGATATGTTAAGTGTACAATTTAGTTCCCTAGTTCAAGTTTTTTATACAAATAAAGCATTTTTTGAATATATGATTTTTACTTATCTTTGCACATAATAACATGAGAGTAAGACAAATACAATTAAATGATGCTCTCTTCTCACTCGAAGAAAGGCTACACAAAAAACTAGGTTAACTTACTGCATAATGTGCCCAATGACCAGATGTTTGCCATAACTTAACATTGTAAATATTTGGCGATACTACTTCTTGGAATCCACGTTTTCTGTATTCACTTTTAATGAACTCAATTAAAGTATTATAAATATGCGCACCTCTTGGTTGGAAAAAACAAGACCCTGGACTTAATTCATGGAAGAAAAATAGTTCTTGTTCCTAGTATAATATAATTATAAATACAATTAGTTTCTATATACTTAATTTTATCATAATGACAATAGAAATACAGACTCTTCCAATTTTACGATGATCTCTTCTAGCAGCTTCTTCTTGGAATTTTTCCCATTCTTTCATTTGTTTATTGTCTGTAAATGAAATACCGTAGACACGTTGTAATGTTTCAGCTGTAGCTTTTCCTTCCCAGTAAGTAGCAGAATTCTGGAATAAAAATATATCAGGGAAATTAAAAATATGTCTATTCTACCCAGCTAAGCAAAAACAGGATAGATTCATTTTTTATAAAAATCAAAATTGTTGTTTACATAGCCAATATATTAATGGTTTCATACTGATTTTTCATATAAAAATAAAGTATTTCTTATTAAAAACTATCTGAGTATATAATTTTAAATAAGAATATATACGGTAAGTTCATAATATTTTATGTTTCGTAAGTGTTCTAAAGTAAACCCAAATTCTAAGCAAAATCTTTGAATAAGCGCTTCTTGAAGGCTTGATTTACTATTTGAACGTTAGTTGCTGTTTTCGCTTAGCACAGCAGTATTATAACACAATATATATGAATAATTAAAAAAAAATCATATTTACTTTGATAACTTTAAAAGCTTTGACTTTGCCTGTATGACGAATATGTGGTCCTCTACATAAATCAATTAATGGTCCACATCGGTAAATAGTAGTTGTTGGTGTTGTAACTTTTTCGTTGAGGATTCTCACTTTAAATTCATTGTACTAAATAACAACACAATAAAATAACAAAAACTGAATTTTTTTTAAAAATTATTGGTAGCGAATTATTTAATTTTCTTTCGTATAATTTAAGTTGAATGATAATCTTAAATACAATTATCTACTTATTAATAAATACAAACTATACTATGTTTATTAAATATTACCTTGAACATTTCCAGTAGATCTTCTTTACTAACTTCAAGCCTTTCAAACGGTTGTTTTTCTTTAACAATTTGTTTGACAAGATTTTCCATAATAGGAAAATCAAAGTTTGATACCTAATAAACATGTGCAAATATAAATACATATTTATCACTCTTAAGCTTATAAGCATACATAAAATAAAATATATATTATACTGATTATTTATAATAATAGATAATTACTCCTTTGTTTTCAATAAACATGTCATAGTAAAATCCTCCTTCAATTGGTGGACCATAGCACAAACATCCACCATATATTCTTTCCATCGCTTCACCTAGCATGTGAGCAGACGAATGCCAAAATACTTTTTGAGCCTCTTCATTATCAATTTTGAGTAACTGCAATGTTGAATCTTTTTCCAATGGTCTATCCAAATCCCAAAGCTCTCCATTAACCTTAGCAATTATTGTATTATCGGCAAGTCCTTGACTGTATATTTATTAAAAAATTTAGTTATATGATCAAAACACATATTGATATAAAAAATAAGTTCCAATTCCAAACCTGATGCCTTTTGCTACATCATATGGCGTAGATTGCCAAGCCTTGGCGTTTGTGGTTTTTCCATCAGGAAAAGTTACAGTTATAGGTTCCAGTACCTTATTGGCAAGTTCATTATTATATTGTTCTTTAAGTTTATCCCAAAGCTTCAAACGATCCTAAAATAAAAAAGAATGAAAAATGGTTTTAGGTATTTATTTATAAACATATGTTTCTAATTGCATTTTAGACTAGACAATTATATACAATTATGAAGTTCTAGATGCTTAGTTTTAATTATGAAAACATATTATTTAAATTCATGAGTGTTTACTAAATGCTACATTAAAAATATATACCAATTTATTTATCTTATAATACATATTCTAGTTTGAAAAAAAGATGTTTTCCTACATATCCTAGAAAAATTGACAATAGATTTCAAATATGTTAAAGAAACTAGTGTGTTCTTGCCCTGCCAACGAGCCGTACACAATTAATCACCCACTAGGCAACATTATGTAATCCCTTCAGCAGCCTTTACCTAATCTAAAATCTAAAATGTTGACATTTTTATGATATCTAACATCTAAGTGGCAGAGGCAATCAATTTTATATGATGTGGTGGGTGGGTGGGGGGCAATAACAAACAAGTAACGTTCATACACTCACACTTTGTGCATTAGAAAAAGTTAAATTTTTTAAATATTCAGTACTCAACATTATAATTTATAATAATATTTAATGTGAATCAATTAAAGAAGTCTTATAAGTCAAAATCAGTTAAATATTGTGAGCAAATATTAAAATGTAATTGACAATTCTCACCTCAATGTAGGATGGCCAAGGTTTCAACTCAGAAACTTGAGACTGTTTTCCTTCCTTTTCCTTCAATGCCATTTTCCTCTTACTCGGTTTCTAAAAAAATATAAATCAAATTAGATATAGTAATTATTAGATACAATACAAAAATTATAAAATTAAAGCTATTTTTAAGTCGAAAGCACTTAAATAAATGTTTTTTTTTTTTTTTTAATCACAAAAATTATACATTTATAATGTGTTATATTATTTAGGAAATGGTTATTGTTGGTTAATTTTATGCACCGCTTTTTATAAACAATTTATTCATAAAAACTTAACTAAATTACATATTGCACTACAAGTTACTGTATACTACAATTAAAATATAATAATTTATATCATAGTACTACTGATTACCACAAATATCTGTATGCATAGTATTTACAGTTACTAAATTAAGGACGTATTATTACTAATGATAATGCTTTTTACGAAAACATTTTACTTATTTTTAATTTTTGCTTTAATATTTCTTACTTGGTACTTGGGTAATCTTAGTCCACGAACAGATTGCGTTCCACAAATTATTGTTTGATGAAGGTCAAATAACAATTTTAAACGCATTAATTT